GCACAGAGACCCCGCTTATCAGGAAAGGGGGTGACTCAGCACCCGCTGGAGAGACGCGCAGGCGGGGGGGAGGGCCGGCTCGTGCCCTCCGGGGGTCCCAGTCCCCACGTGTTCGCCCTCTGGACGCCCTCAGAAGCCGTCTTTCTTGGGTTTTCGGGGGCTTCGCTGGTCACTGGCCCTGGGCAACGGATTCAGCCTCCAGCCCCTTCCCCTCCGGTCGTTGGAGGCGGGACTGCACCCCGGAACCACGTGGTCGGCTCTGCAGGCACCGGCCCCGTCCGCAGGGGCCCCCATGGCCTCAGGCTCACACGGCTCCCCCCCTAAAGCAGCAGCTCTCCTGGGCCCCGGGTCAAGCACTCCCGAGTCTTCCCGAACCTGGGACAGCCAGCGTCCCAGGACCTCCCGCCGGCCCCCCAGAACCGTTTGGCCCCTGCGAGGTGGCGTGGGGGCAGCCTGTGCGAGTGCCCGTAAGTTTCCCTTAAAAACCCTTGTCATCGCCAGGCCGAGCGGCGGGCTCTTCTGCGCGGGTGGGGGCGGGAGAGAAAGCTGCCGGGGCACCTGGCACCGTCTTTCGGGAACAGGCTTCATCTGAAACAGGCACTTTAGGGGCACAGGCCGGCGGAGGGAAAGTTTGGAATTGGGGTCCATGGAGAAACAGGGCTACAGACTGGGAGGAGGCACAGCTCCACAACACAGGGAAGCCAGGTGCAGGAGCAGCAACGCTTGGATTTACCTAAGACAGGGGAGCTGGAAGTAGCCCAAAAGGTCTATATTTACAAAATGAAGAACAAGGAAGAAAGCCGGAAAGAAAAGAACAATGAGGAAGGAGGGGCGGGGAGGACCTCACATGGGACGTTTGAGCTCAGGAGTTACTATAGTAACCAGACTAAGGGAATAGTGACCAATCAGAGGGGACATCAAGGCACCAGGATCTGCAGCCTTTATAAGCCCTGGGAAGAGGGAACTCAGTGGGACCCTTACCCCTCCCCACCTGGGAGTCTGTTCTGTGGGACTCGTTCCCTCTCCTCACGTGGGAGTCTGTCCTTGTTCTTCAGTAAATCTCCACCTTTGCTATACCACCTTCTCTCCGTGGATTCATTCTTCGATTCCCACGGACAAAGAGTCCGGGTTCCAGTCCAAAAATTCTGTTTCAGTTTCTCTTGCGAAACACCTGAGAGTGGCACTGCTGGGCCACCGGGTAGGGATGTGTTAACTTTATGAGAAATTTCCAAAAAGTCCCCCAAGATGGCCCCATCGTTTTCTCTTTGTTCAGCCCCGTCCTGTGCTCTCCAGCACCAAGAGGGGACCAGGGCCGGGCGGTCAAGAAGCCGGCGGAGGTAACCGGCCAGTGCCAGTGGCCGTATCCGGTCCTCACAGGTTATTAGTCGTGAGACGTTGCACAGATTGCTGGACTTTCCATTTTTCTAGAACAACCACAGTCGCTGGCCCTGTTGGGGAGTCTGTCCTTGTTCTTCAGTAAATCTCCACCTTTGCTAGACCACCTTCTGTCCGTGGATTCATTCTTCGATTCCCACGGACAAAGAGTCCGGGTTCCAGTCCAAAAATTCTGTTTCAGTTTCTCTTGCGAAACACCTGAGAGTGGGACTGCTGGGCCACCGGGTAGGGATGTGTTAACTTTATGAGAAACTTCCAAAAAGTCCCCCAAGATGGCCCCATCGTTTTCTCTTTGTTCAGCCGCGTCCTGTGCTCTCCAGTACCAAGAGCGGACCAGGGCCGGGCCATCAAGAAGCCGGCGGAGGTAACGGGCCAGTGCCAGTGGCCGTATCCGGTCCTCACAGGTTATTAGTCATGAGACGTTGCACAGATTGCTGGACTTTCCATTTTTCTAGAACAATCACAGTCGCTGGCCCTGTTGGCCCTGTGCTCCCCATTTGGAGCTGAGTAATGGCTGTCCCCTTCAGCTGGGACATGTGCTCCCCAGTCAGCCACAGCCCCGCTGCCTGCCTCACTCACCTGCTGGCCTCCTGTGTGGGCAGCAGGGCCCTAGGACACATTCATCGCCCCTTAGGCCCCAAGGACTCAGCATCCTTCGGCCTTCCTGGGGTTGTGCCTCTGGAGGCAGATCGCAGTGTCAGGCCGTCTGTCTGTCCCGCTTCTGTCCATCTGTGTGACCCATTCTCCCTCCCCTACCCGGGCAGGCCACCCCTGCAGGCCCCCACTCATCTGGTGTCTATTTAATTGCCAGGTCTTTGTGCAACCAGCCGCCCTCGTCTGGTGGACACATCTCTGGGTTCAAATCCTGGCTCTGCTGCTTACTGGCTTGCAGCCTGTGGGCGAGTTTTCTCATCAGTGAACTGGAAATAATGACAGGGTCTGTCTTCGAGGGTGACTGCAAAGGTGGGTGAGAACTGGACAGACCCTGCATGCGTGTGTGTGTGCCACCCGCCTCCTGAGCCCCTCTGCCCGGGCTGCAGCCCAGGCCCAGGCCCAGGCTCGGGGCTGTGGCCATGACTCTGCTCCGGCGTGGCTGTCTGTGCCACGAGGGCCTGCAGTGGCCACATCTTCAGATTAGCCTACCACAGTGGGAGATCAGAGCCTGTGGAAAGTCTCGTGTTTCACAAGGGCTATTTTTCAAAGTCTTGAATGCCCTGAGTGCTCCGCAAAAACCTTCCTCTGTCCCCGCCTGTCCTGGTGTCGTGGGCCACACAGGCCCCGGCCGTGGCCTGGCCACTCCTGACAGCTGCCCCGACTCCAGACGCCTGTCTTTGCACCGCCTCGGTCTGGAGAGCACAGGACGGGGCTGAACAAAGATGGTCACTGTCCCTGCCGCAGAGGCCCCGGGCGGCATTGACTGCTCTCCTGAAAACCTTCCTCTGTCCCCGCCTGTCCTGGTGTCGTGGGCCACACAGGCCCCGGCCGTGGCCTGGCCACTCCTGACAGCTGCCCCGACTCCAGACGTCTGTCTTTGCACCGCCTCGGTCTGGAGAGCACAGGACGGGGCTGAACAAAGATGGTCACTGTCCCTGCCGCAGAGGCCCCGGGCGGCATTGACTGCTCTCCTGGGACGTTCCTCTGTCCCCTGCCTCCCCCGCCGGCATCTGCCCCCCCCTCGTCCCCCCAGCTGTCCCAAGCCCGCCTGTCCCCAGAATGGAGGCGGGCCCGTGGGAGAGTGGGTGAGTGGAGCTGGGTGGTGCCTGTTAGGGTCGCTGAAGGAGGAACGCACGAGGCCAAAAGTGGTAAGAATTATAAATGTACTAGGGCACCTGGAGACAGGTGGGCTGAGCCCCCAAATGGCGCCAGCCCCCAGGGATGGGGGCCGGAGGTTGTGAAGGACTCTAGGTGGGCTTTTCCAGGTGGGGGGACTCTCTGGGTTGGTCTGGATCCTGGGAAGGTCCAGAGGGGAGAGATAATTGTGGTCCTAGCAAGTGGGATGTGGTCGAAGCGAAAGGGAATGTCGGTTGCGAGTGGCCTACAGGGCAGTTCCCAGGGGAGGGGCATCCATTCAATTCCCTGACCAGACCCAGGAGCGCCCTCCGCCCTCCGGTGCAGGCCCAGGAGGCTGAGGGCAGGGCTCGGGCCGCCACCTTCCCACAGTGGCTGGTCTCAGCTCCAGGTCAGGGCTGGGCTGGGCCTGAAGCATGGTAGCAATCATGTTTGGGTGAATGTTTAATATTTTAACCCTGCTGGCTTGGCTTCTGTCATTATTTGCTTCCTAAAATAATAGAAAAGTTATTTTGATTTTCTGAACTATTTAAATCATCCCATTTGATTGAATACCCTATTGATTGTAATTTGAATACCCCATTGATTGTGGTCATACTGGTTTTAGAAAACACATTCCTCTGTACCTGGAGACCAGGACTGCACAATTACTCTAAATTGCCCCAGTGGCTCCAGATAATGTGTTTCCATTGACTCAGTGGTCCCAAGACCCAAAACAATAATTAATCTTTGTAGATAACTAATCAGCTCAATCTAGCTTCTGTAACAAACTGCTTTTTGCAAACCAGGTTCCTCATTCCAAACCTTAGGATGTAATCAATACCTTTGTGATATTTGCCTATATAAATCTGGTGTTTCGGCCAAGGGGGCGCAACGAGATTTGGAGAGCAAATTGCCCCCTCGTAGTCCCAGCTTTGAAATAAATGTGGCTCCTTAATTCGACTTCTTGAGGCGCCCTTGAGTGATTCGCCGGGTACATTACAACAGGCCCAGCTCTCCCTGTCCCTGGAAAGACCATTCTCACTTTTCCTAATCTCAGCTGCACTGGAATTTGGAGTTTGACCTGCAAGAAGATTCTCGCCGGTGGGAGGGAGGCCGCCACTGCCCTCCCAGCTCTGGCTGCAGGGAGAAGCCGGGCCCCTCCTCACTGCGCCCTGCCTTCTCCTGCCTCTGAAACCGCCACCAGACCCCAGAGCAGGGGGCCCGCACCCAGAGGAAGGTAAGACCCCTCCAATGATCATTTTGCAAACTGGGAGCAGCCTGGGGACGGGACCCAGAGCGGCAGGAAACCTGCCGGCACCGTGGGCTCTCGTTCCTCAGCAGCAGGCAGATGAGTGGAGGGTGGGCACAGCCAGTGGCACCAGGTGTGGGTCCCCTTTCCCACTGGCCGAGTCACTGGCCCACCGCTGAGCCTCAGGTCTGAGGACCCAGGGAAGGGGCAGGGGACGATCTGCGTAACAGTAGGCCCCGTGGTTCCTGCAGTGCAGCTGCTGTTGACTGAGCAAAAGGAGTTTCCACCGGCGCCTGCTGGGCACGGGTGGCAGGTCCTGGCCTGGTCTAACGGGCACAGTCACCCTGAGGGCACAGCCCGCAAATCACAGAGGGAGCTGAGAGCCTTTTAGAAACTGGCCCAGGTCTCTCAGAGTGGCAGCGCTGGGACTCAACCCCTGTGACTGTGAGCTACCACGACACCAGATTTCCAGTGGCTTTCTGCTGGGTGGTTCGGGGCAGCGGTTGGGAGAGGTGTCCCGCAGAGGGGTCCTGGGGATGTGTCCCGGGGTGGAGGTGGGAGGGTTCCCGATGCGCCAGGGCATGTGGCACGGAAAACTCCATGCTGCTGTCTCACAACCATTTACTGAGCACTGCTATTACAGAGCAAAGTTCAAATTCAACTGAGTCCTCCTGCAGGTCTCATCAGCTTCATCCAGGGGTTCGTGAATGGGGCAGCAGCCCCTCCGGCAACTAGAAGGCGCTTCGAGGGGTTGTCCAAAGGGGGAGGCTTATTTAGGCGGAAAGAGGGTGGGACTAAGAAGTTAACAAGTGGATCATTTCAGGCCTGGACAGCGTCCCGTTGGGGAAGGCGAATGGCCCCAGTAGTGCTGACCAGGGAGTTCCAGGCGTTGGTTTAAGTTCCACTCCCGGGAGAGGCTGGGCCGGCACGCAGGCTGGCGTGGCTTGGCTTTGGAGACGGGGCTGAGCAACAGGGACTCCATTTGGGCCGGTTTCTCTTTCTAACACTGCTCTGGGGGCACAATGCAGTGGGGACAGGCAGTAATGAGAGTCGTGCAAGTCAAATGTCATGCTTGACTCAACGGTGATGAGGAGTCATGCCTGCTATCAGGACAAATAACGTAAGGGCCAAATTTAGGTTGAGGTCAAGAGAAGGCTGTTTGGTGTGACATCTGAAGGGTGAGTAAGAGTTCATCAAGCCAAGAGTGTAGGGAACAGCATGTCAGGCAGAGGGAACAGAATAGCAAAGACCCTGAGGTATGAAATGCTGCTCAAGGAATAAAAAGAAGGCCCATGTGAGATGGGCAGGGCCACAACAGAGCAGGCACAGAGGTGCTTTGAGCAGGAAAGTGATCTGATCTGATCTGATCTGATGGAGGTTCTGTGTGAGGATGGACTCGGAGGTCAAGAGAAGGCTGTTTGGTGTGACATCTGAAGGGTGAGTAAGAGTTCATCAAGCCAAGAGTGTAGGGAACAGCATGTCAGGCAGAGGGAACAGAATAGCAAAGACCCTGAGGTATGAAATGCTGCTCAAGGAATAAAAAGAAGGCCCGTGTGAGATGGGCAGGGCCACAGCAGAGCAGGCACAGAGGTGCTTCGAGCAGGAAAGTGATCTGATCTGATCTGATGGAGGTTCTGTGTGAGGGTGGACTCGGCGCAAGTGTGGCACCAGGAGGCACGACGGGAGGTTCCTGCTCGAGTGGCTTGGATGACAGTGAGAGAAGCCAAGGTGAGGGGAGTGGGTGGATGCAGGCTACACCTTGGAAGTGGAATAGGATGGGATTAAGAGTCGATGGATTCTGGTCTAGGAAGCGGGTGGGAGAAGTGGCCGTTCAGGGAGACAGTCCTGGAAGCTCCAACAGTCCTGTTCTCCAGCTTGGACAGTTCCGTCTGCAGGGCCGGCTGGACCCCACTTAGATGCCGCGTTGGCCTTTGGATAGACAGGTGTGGACTCACAAGGTGCTCTTGTGACTGTTGGTCTCCCCGGGAATCTTGAGACGAGATCATCTCTGGAGGGACAAGGAGGTGGAGCAGGAAGCTGGCCCAAGGTCACACAGAATGGCAGGGGCGCTCACATGGGGTGACCTCCTGTTAGCTGGCTGAGGACAGCTGCCACACCCTGCCCTGCCCGTGGCATCTTCCCTAAATGCCAGCATGTGGCCTTCCCAACGGGCCGGGGATGGGGTGGCCTCTGCTCCAACCAAAGTCCCGGGGATCGTCCTCCCAGCCTTTGTCTAAGGACCCAGAGCACCCGCTGCTCAGGCTGGCAGAGTGGTCCTTCAGCTCCTCCCTCTGCAGTTCCAGGCCCAGCGCCCGCTCCACCTCCCACAATGGACCGCCCCGGCTGGGCTGCCTCCACCACAGCCTTGCTGGGCATCCCAGTCCCGAGCCGGTCACCAGCCGGGCTGTGAAGAGGGCAGCCACCCACACTGGGCACCACAGGGGATGCTGGAGGGGGAGTGGCTGCGGCTGGAGTTCCACCAGGGTCCACGCGCAGGCCAGGCTGGCAGCTCGGGGAGGCCGGGTGGAGCCCGCATCGGTGCTTTAGGTGGCCTTGGCCCAGGACCAGCTGCGTTTCCTGTATCTGTTCCCTGGGGGCCTCAGACCTGACCCTCAGGGTGCTGTGTGCTTCACAGCTGGGGCCAGGGTCTTCCTGACCAGAGTCCATGCTCTTTTCCTAAACGGTTTTATAAGAAGGGCAGGGAGAGACCCAGTCCTCTGGACCCAGTCATGTTGTATAAGGAGCTTTCGACAAACCTGTGACACGCGTCGGATTACTAGCCCCATTCACAGAGGGGGAAAGGGCCTCCGGGAGGTTGTTGGCCCACATCTCTCTCGGAGCTAATAAGAGGCAGGGGTGGGACCTGAAGGTGCAGTGCCCCTCGCGCCTCGTCACACGGCCACGACCGCCGTTCCGGGAGAGTGCCGCCTGAAGTTGGGCTTCGTGGTTGGAGGGCCACTGTCCCCGCTCGGCGCAGGCCGTCCTGGGCTCTCGTCTGTCTGTCCCAGTTCCCGTCCCTGCCTGAGTCTGTGATCCTCGGCCGCTGTGCCACGTCCGAGCCAGACACTGCGCACGGCTGTCTGTGAATGTACTGGGTACACAGGCGGTTTTATGCTGTAAATCTTGTTCGTTTCTTTTACTTTCGCTATGAAATGTTTCAGAGGCACAAGTTATAAAGGATAATAACCCCCCACCAGCGGACGCCACTCAGGAGAGAACGCGGCCCAGGCCCCGCCCCCTGCCCACCAGCCGGCTGTGGAAAATTCCCACATCTGCCCTGTGGGTGATGTAACCCGCCCAGAGCAGAGGGTGAGCGGCCGGCCGGCTCCCTTTTGTTCTTTGGCCCATCGGGGGCCACAAGGGAGGGTGTTCCTGCAAACAAAGCCTTCGTTATGGAGCCTGCTTTGCACGCCTCTGCCCTCCATCCAGGGAGCGCCCTCGCAGAAGGTGAAGCAGGAGCCCACCCCAGTGTGCCCGCCTGGGGGGGGCGAGGGGCAGCAGGCCCTGGTGTCATTTCATCCAGTGGCCTGGGCACACGTGCTGCACGGGCCAGGTCCGCCTTGCTCACCGCGTTGTCCTCCATGCCTAGCACAGAGCCTGGCATACAGCTGGTGCCTAATGAGTGTTTGTCACTGAGTCCCCAGGGCTTAGCATGGAGCCTGGCACACAGCTGGTGCCTAATGAGTGTTTGTCACTGAGTCCCCAGAGCTTAGCACGGAGCCTGGCACACAGCTGGTGCCTAATGAGTGTTTGTCACTGAGTCCCCAGGGCTTAGCATGGAGCCTGGCACACAGCTGGTGCCTAATGAGTGCTTATGGAAAAGACACAGGGAAAGGGAGCCAAGGACGGAAGGAGAGGAGAGAAGGAGAGAAGGGCCGAGAGGGACAATAGAGACAGACCCGCCAGCGTTGGATGATGCAACGAGCTTCCGCTGGAGACCCACGCCTGTCAGTACTGTGACCTAGAGGCAAGTGGCACCGCAGGCCCAGAGCCCAGCTCACTGTCACCTCTTGGTGCCTCGTTTCCCACCTGCAGGGTGGGCGTGTCATGTGCTGGCGAGGAGATAAGAGCACACGTGTGCCTGGCGAGCTGCGTGCCTGGCGTTCGATGGCAGTGCCATGGGTTTGCTGGAGAGCGGGCACCTTGCAGGCTCTGCCTGGGAGCTTGTGGCTCTGGTTTCTCTGGTCTGTGCTCCTATCCCCACGTGAGGATGCAGCCGGCCCCTCCTGGCCCCGGCAGGCCCCACCTCCTGGGACTCAGGAACAGCCTGGAGCAGCACCAGCAATGAGTAACTTGTTTATCTGCCCCACCCCTCCCGGTGCCTGGCAGGCAGAGGCCTTCCAGAGGGGCTGGGGGAGGGGCTGGGGACTGAGAGGGCTGCCCCTCCTCACCCTCCCTCCCATTTAGACCTGCGGGCTTCTAGAACAATCTATCTCAGCCCCCAATTAAGCTGCTTCCTAAGCCCCTTGTTCTCAGTTCTCATCGTTGGGAGCAGCAGGTTGACAGTTTGAAAATGCAGGCTCTGAAGTCAGACAGATCCGATCGAGGCTGAGCTCTGTGAGCCTCCTCCCAGCCGCAGCGAGAGAAGTTCAAAGCTCCCCTTGGGGTGGGTGGGGAACTAACAGATCGCTGAGCCCCTCCCCTCCCCAGGTGGCTTCTCTAAGTGAACCCCGCGGTGTGCAGGCCTCCGGGGTCTGGGCGCTGGGTCTCCAGGGGACACCGGGGGCTGTCAGTGCTGTGGCCTCGGTGGGTAGAGACCAGGGCTGCTGTCATCCTGAAGTGCCAGCCCCAGAACAGAGCTACCCGGTCCCACGGGCAGTAGAGGTGAAGACCAGCAGTGACAAGGACAGGACAATCCTGCACCGCAGCCGGCCGCTCTGTTCGCCGTTCTGATCAGAAGCAGGAAACTGCTCCCCGTTCTCCCCTCACGTTCCCTGTCATGAGGCCCCGCAGTGAACAAATGCCCTGCCCGCCCACTGCTCGCTTCT